TAGGCAGCTCCGACTAATTTATTAAGCAAATAGAACTAAAAACTGGATGACAAACAAACAAGTAGTACCTGTAAGAATGCAATTAAATAAAGAAGTAAATTTCAGTACTCTGAGTATTTTTTAGTTATCTTTTTCGAAATTTTTAGGACCACCGCTTTTATACATCATATATTAACTGTAGGATGAGTATGTTTTGTTATTTTTACTAAGCTAAGATTTTTAAAACTCAAATCTGGGGTAGTTTCAATCTGCAACTTAAGAATCTAAAAGTATCTTAAAGATACGACCTAGGCAGTTTCACCTGTGTACGTGCACGTAGGTGCATCTGTGTTTCTATGCGTATGTGTGCAGAATAAAACAGATGATTGCCCATAAGCAAAACGAACAACAACAAAGGCCGGCCGGGCTCCAAAGATTCTCTCCTCTCTCTGCCGCTCTCCTCCGCTCTTCCTTTTGGGACCCCTCTCTTCGTTCTGTTGCAGCAAAACAACAAATAAATAAATAAATAACCAGCTAAAAAAAAGAAGAGAAAAACAACAACAAACACTTACTGCACACACACAGTGGGGCACAAATGGAAAAGAGATGAAAATGAGACGTTGCCGTTGAGCATTTCGATTCCAGTACGTTTGGCCCGCTCAGTGAGTGAAAATCGGCAACTGCGCGAAAGAGCCGTGTGTGCAGGCAATAAGAAAAAGCAACAAAAACGGCCACAAACAACACAGCAATAGCAACAACAACAATAACAGCTGAGGCAGCAGCAAAACCTTAGGCATAATACATATACTTACTTACCTACCTACCCAAATACATATGTATCCATCTAACTAACTTGCCACATACATAGTTGCACACAAACAGCGGGGGCCAAATTAATAGGGGATGCTATGCGTTTAATTCGATTTGAGCCTATAACATGTAGGTTAACCTTTTAAGGTGCCAGATCTATAGACTAATTGTCTTCGAAATGTATATCCCATTTTATGAAAGACTAGAGGATATTCAAGTATATTCCAAGAATCACATAAATTTAATAAATTCATAAATCAATTTTACTGATTTAAAATAAAAAACTTGTTATAAATACTAAAACATAAGTTAAAATTAACATGTTTTAAAAACAAGTTCATTGAACTCCGAATTAGAACATTTCTAATAACAAAGATTACGCAAACAGAATCCACCGAAATAACTGGATGCGTTAAACAAGTTAGCTAGTTATTGATATTATTGTTCAGAAATCAATAACAAACAGCCAGAAGTCATTCTGCATTCCGAGTAAAAAGTTAAAGAACGATTATAAAGTATCTGCAATCAGTCGTTCTGCTTTATTTTTGGCAACTTTCCTATCACAATTCTATATGCACTTATACATTTATAATAAAGAACTTTCAATTGATCAATCAATAGAGGTTAACCACCTACGATATCGGTTGACCGATAATGGTTATTATTCAAGCAAAACGTGTGATCGTTAAGTGTTTTTCACAACCTCAGGTTTACTGGCACCGTTATAAAGTTTATTTAGGTTTACGGAAATGATTTCAATTGCAATCGAAATGGTAAAAACTTTAAGATCTTAGAAATGTATTAGTATTAAAAATTACAATAAAATACAATTTTTATTTTTGCTAAAATAAATCTAATCTAAGGTTCTATTTTTTGGGTGCACTATTTTCTTGGCCCCCCTTGTGCCGGTGCATATATGTATGCATGTGTTTTTGGGGGGCGCGTTGACTGCGCGAAACGAGTTGGAAAATCAAGATATACATATATGAATGCCTGTTTGTATGTATTGCACTGACTGCGCTTGGAGCTGCGCTGTGGCAGCGGCAGCGGCAGCGGCGTCGGCAGAGGGCAGCGGCTGATTTTGTATACACAATGCAAATACACACACAGTTGCAGGCAGCCAGTGGATGGGGCGGCGGGGGGAGAGTGGGAGGCTCGACTCAGGAACATATGATGAGCGAAACAGCTGCAAGCTGAGAAACAGCGGCAAAAGCAGCAGAGAGGAGAGGCAGTAAAATTACTGCAACTTTGTGGCAGAGCAGAGAGAAAGAGATGGCGAGAGCCAGAGAGAGCACTGCAATAAAAGCTGGAAAATCACATAAATTATATATTGCTAACCATTAATTAAAGTTAAAAGCAATTTGATAAATGCAAATAACCATGGGTAGTGCAGTTTTCAGCTAAATATACCCAATAAGAGAGCCTGTTCCAGTTATTTCACCGCTGACCAGCTGAGAGAAAGAGAGAGAACGAACGCTGCATCAGCTGTGAAAGAGAAACGAGTGAAAGATTGGGAAAGAGAGAGGGTGGAAAAAAAGGAAAACCAGTTACTTAAAGTAACTTAAGAGAGCGAAATAGTGAGTGAGTTTTTTCAAAGAGAACTTAAGAGCATTGGTTACATGTAATATGCTCTTGAGTGGTTTGCAAAATACAGAAGGGAGCGGGAGATATTTTCTTATTTTCCACTCACATGAGAATTTAATGAAGAAAAGGAAGAGATTTTCATGAAAGAATTATTACAAAATACAGATTATTTAAATCAGCCTGAAAAAGTAGCGAAAGAAATGAAAAGGACCTCATTTTGCACATAAATAAATAATAAATAGGCGACTCGACTTATTTGCATTTGCACAGTAACTGTTTTCGAGAGCGAGAAAACTTTTGGCCAGTTTTCCGAGTTTTCCCCCAAATTCGTTTGCATAAATCAATTATGCATCTGTGGGACACTCTTGTCCGCAGACATCTCAATTCAATTGAAATCTAATTTGTGCTCTAATTTTAGGCATTTTCCCCCGAAGACAAACTGCCAAATCATTTTCCTTGCCCTGCGGAAAATTGCCTTGTTTCCTCTCGCTCGCACTCGCACGTTCGCTTGGTCACGTCGCCAGTGCAAAGGAAACTCTGGCCGCTAGGTGGCGCCACGCATGCCGTTTTCGTATCTAGATTTCGTTTTTTCGCTCAGCGGAAAAAGATACTTTGCTGTGAAATACTTTTTATTAATTATTTTTGGTTTATTTAATAAAAAATATGCTGGCTTTTTGAAAATTTTATTAAATTACATGTTTTTAGGAAATATATTTTCATAGTTGAGTGATATTACGACCTGTAAAAATTGAAATTTTACATTTTAAATCATATTAATATCGTTAAAAAATTATATCTATACATTAGTCCAGTAAAAATTTGTACTTCACGGTAAAATATATATTTTTTTCAATCCAGTCTTTTATCATCCGTTGAAATAATCAGCATATCCGTCCACGTCAGCGGTAATTATCTACAAAAAGCCAATGATTTTCGCTTTTCAATTGCGAATCGTCGTTATCGCGGTGGATCGATCAAACCCCTTTATCAAATTAGCTTATCGCCATTTGTTTTCCATTTCCATTTGACTGTCATAAATTACTTGCCAAATTCCTCTGCTTTAACTTTGGCTGCCAGCCCGGAAACATATCTACATATATGTATCTGAATCTGTATCTGAATCTGAATCTGAGGACTTCCCCGGCGCAATGAACTTCCCGAATTTGTGCTCGTCATAACTTTTTCTTTCTTTTCTTCTTTTTTCGTAGCTGTTTTTTAGAGCATTCCGCGAAAGTCCATCTCCCCGTAATAGATAAATGGATAATTTGCTAAGCATTTTAGGTTTTCCTCTTATGTTTTTCACCTGCTCGTTTCGGGGAAACATTTTGGCAGGGCCACCCCCTCCAAAAACAAATAAAAGCCAAAAAAACACGAAACAAAAAGAAAACTCAACTTGTTCTTGATAATTTTCTTGGGTTCTGCACACGTTCGCCGATTTTCCCCGCACTCTCTTTTCTTATTTTTTTAATGAAAATTTATGCATTCATATGTGTGTGTGTGAGTGTGCCGGTGCGAAAATGTGTTGTGTTTAGTAAAACTAATTTAAATTTACAAATTGCCTTCGAGGGGGCCACAAGAGCGAAAGCCAAAGCCAAAGCGTAAACTTTGTGAAAATTGCTTTCCCGGAAAAGTGGAGAACACCGAGGGAAAGTTCTCTATATGCGACGGCTGCCATGTATCGCAAAGTCACAAAGGAAACAGATGGGAAAGTGGATTTCAATCTCAAAGTTGATTGATTTACCTTGCGAAATTTTGCAAATTTAAATTTTGTTTGTACATTAAAGTCAGTTTATTGTTTGTGCAAAATGGTAATTGAGTAATCGAAATAAGGTGAATTTGAATGGGATAATAATTTGATTTTGAAAGTATCACAGAGTTGATATGAATAAAAGAAAAGGTATTACAATTTCTAGAAGGTATTATAATAGTAGCTATTTGAATGCAAGTATATTTGCATATACTTATTTTTAAAGGCTAATAAATATATAAATATATATATTTTTAAAAAGAGGAAAAGCAATATACCAATTACATATAAAATCCCTATAAACCCAATTAAAGAAATAATTTAAATGAATTAAAATATACTTTTTACTCATATATGCAAGTACATACATTATAGATACAATGAAACCTATTTTCTTAATACAAATTTTAAAATTTTCCTGAGATAAAACAGTTGCATGATTTATTTTTTTCGGAACTTCAGGCTGCAGTAAATCAAAATATTAAATCGGCTAACGAGCCCAAAGCGTCATCAGCTTTCTATTGGCGAAATAGGCAAACACGTGCCCTACAAGCCGATTTATACCCGTATATCTGTGGGGGCAATAAATTTCGCTGATCATTAACCCCTGGCAGTCGTCTGTTGGCCAACCTGAATCACAGTTCTTTGTTGTTTATTTTTGAGAGGCCCGTTTTGGCAGCATATCAACGATGTCTGTTTCTAATCAAGCCGGGCCACGCCCCCTTCGAAGTTTTTCTGGGGGCAGCTGGGGTCGCATTTCAAAGATTGCGAAATTTCAAAGAGTGCTCAGGTTTATCAATGAAATCAGAATCAAAATCATTTAGGTTCAGTTCAGTTTGCAATGTGCCAAAGTCAGGGGCCAAAAGTCAAACAAAAGAAGTTCTCGTTTCATTTCATTTATTATCTGACAAAACACATCTACATAAAGCTAATGTGGCACGAAAGATATCCCAAAGATACAGATACAAACACACATGCGTGCTTCATGGAATTTCATTTCAATCTGAAAGAAATTTGATTTTATTTATTTGAGCCAGCATCACAGCAAGACAAGTTGGATTTTTGGGGAAGGGGCAGGGGCAGGGGCAAAGGGCAGGGGCATTCATGAGATACATTTCAATCTTTCGTTTTCAATCTACGTGCAGCATTTTCAGCTTTGGTCAGCAAACAAAAATGGCAGCAAAAACGACAGAAAAAAATATAAAGATGAAGATGGCAGGAAAATGCATTCAATTGAAAGGAAAGGACACACAGCCAGGGATCATGATATGAATATGAAATTATCCCACATCCCACATCATCGCCACACAATTTTCATTTGCTGATGAAATTCTCGGCTCGGGTCCATGAATTCATAAGAACAGGTCCTCACATATCACATAATCGGCTGTGCGCGTTTCCTATCAAGAAGCGAGCATTAAATTGAAATTATGATGAAATTCGTCACTGAATCGGAAGAGAGTATTTATAGATTTAACGCATTACTTGTGGGAAACGTGCGGGTTCCAGGAATATGATTTTATGGTTGAAAAATTTGCATATACTTTATGACAAAAATGAACATTTTATATATAATTTCCTGGTATATAACTTGCATTTAATGGTTGTTAAATACAATTACAAAGTGTAATGAAATGTTTCAAATTGAAATAACTCACAGAAATGCACAAAGATTAGATAAGCGATCAGTAAATTAAAAAAGGAAACGAAAAACGCAATCAAGAAATATTTTTATGAAACCAGAAAAGTAGTTAAAGTATACCAAAGTCGCTTTTTTCATTTCACAAGATTGGAAATAAATGTACCCCATTTTAAAGTCAAATCTTAGAATTTCTCCTTTAAAAACAAATTTTTATAAAACTAAATAATCACAGAACAGAAATTATAAAAACGATAACTTTGTTGATCATTTTTTGCATAAAGATAGAATTTATTTATGAGTTATAATTTAAAATGTGCTCAGTTTTTCATATGAAGATAGGCTTGCTTTCTTCACATACAAAATTTTGTTATTCTTGAACTAAATTACTGCCAGATTAGAAAATGTGAAAGTAATGTTTTTATAGCAACTTTGAAAAATCATTGTATAAAAATACAATTTTTATGAAACTGAAATCTAACATTTTTTTAAGTCTGAATAAAATTGGCACAGAATATTTTATTGTCTTTAAATTTTCATCATACAAGAAAATAAATTAATTTATCTGAATTTTTCCAATTCGTTCAAAAACTCTACAACATCCAAATTGTAATAATCACAAATTTTCACAACAACTTTGATTTGATTTTTTCCATGGGCATGACTGGTTTTCCTCCCGAGATTTACTTTTCATTTGCCGAAGCGGCGAGCGCAGTAAAATTTGCATTCGCCTGTTTCCGTGGAAAAGGCGAGGAAATTCTGAAGATACATTCGTATCTTGTATCTGGGTATCTGCCATCTCGAATCGTATCGTTTTGCGGCCTGGCAACAGCCGCTATTTGCAGCATGTTGCAACTTGCAACTGAGTTTTCGTTTTCGGAGTGGAAAATTTCAGCCTTTTGCTGCTGCCTCAGTCGGCGTCGCAGTCGCCGCCCGACGTCGACAGCGCAGTAATGCCGGGGTGGCTTTTGTTGTTGCTTTTGCTTCCTTTACAAGTCTTTTTTTTTCTCGTATTCCCTTCCTTGCGGGAGAACATTTCCACTTCCATCATCATCCTTTTCGTGGTTTTCTCCAATTCGGGGTTTTCTTTTCGAGTCACGTACGCCGTTTCGCGCGCTCCCTCTCTCGCTCGCTCTTTTGCCGGCCGGGTCGGCGTTGTAGGTGCGCATGAGCGAGACGGAGAAGGAGGGCGCAGCGAGTGGCTGAGTGAAACAGCTGTTGCGAGAGCAAGCGAAAGAGAGGGAGAGCGCAGAGGGCTCTCTCGCGGCAGCGGCGACTGCGACGCCGACTGCGGCCGGCGAGCAGTATAAAAGGCGGCGCGCCGGCAGAGAAAACCATAGTAGCTTCGAAAAAAACACAGAGAAACAACAAACAGACTAAGGCCGCTCCACAGCCAGAAACAGAAACAGAAACAGAAATCAAATGAAGCAGCAGCCGAAACGTGCATAGCCAGACTTTTCCACTGCTAAATTATTTTACCGAGTACCCACACCAAAATTCAAAACTGTTTCACGAAGAATTCTATGCTACTGACGTTATTTTAAACACATGAAACGTTAATTATAAAAACACAAAAGTAAATTTGCCATCAAACAAATGCAACGGACCAACGCCATTTAAGTGATACAACAAAACAAATAAAAGTTTAAACAACATAAGTGCTGTGATTCCACTACAAAACAACAACAACAACAACCAACAAGAAATGTTAATTTAAACTGCAACAACAAGAAGTAGAAGAAGAAAAAAGCAATCAGCAAGAAAACAAACAGCAAATTGTGATAAATAAAAAATAATCTTAATTAATTAATTGTACAAGTGATATAAAAAGGGCGACCCAAAAAGCCGTCGGAAAATAGCGAGCGAACGAGCGAACGACTTTCGATTCGATTCGACTTTCCCACTTCAAAGAAAAGCACACTTCCCAGGAAAACCAATGAAAATGGATGTTATCCCCGCGCAGGGCATCTTCTACGGCACTGTTCGAGTATCAAACAAAACTAAAGGTGAGTTGAGGAAAGGTCTAGAAAAAATGTTGTTATATGGCACGATCGGGAAGGTTCTAGAACCAGAGTTCTTCAGATTCAAAAGTTCAGTTTTTCAAGTTTCACATTTCTTTTTCTGTATTTCAAACGGAAAACCTCTTAACCTTTACTTAGACTTGCAAAAAAAATAAAATCAACAATTGCTTTGCAATCCTCCTTGAAATTTCATCAGCAATTAAGTTTGTAATTTAAATTTACACAAAAAATGCATAAAAAATCAATTTGCAATTACAAAAGAAAAATGTCATAAAAAAAAATCATGTTAAATTGTTCGTCACGTACGCAAATTGCAACAACAAAAGAGGGGAAAATAACGAAATATAAAAAAAAAACTCCCAGCAGCAATAAAAAATGATTTTTCGTCTTCTTTGGGCTCTTGCCCTCTGTCTTTTGCTTTTGTGTTTCCTTTTTGCATTTGCTTCACGCTCGCGCTTTCCGCTTTCATCTGCCGTTCGCTGTTGCCAAGCGGCTGTTGCTCATCGCCTAGTTGTTTGTTTTTGGCTTCCGTTTCGCCTTTGCGATGTAGCAACCGTGATAGAACCCAAAAGGTGTTTGAAGAGCCGGGATCTTTACTTTAAAAGTCTTCTGGAACTTGGGACTGGTTGGAAATTTTTGAAATTTTCTTTTTCCTAGTTGTGTATAATGTAAAGTATACCTATATAAACAGGGTTTTATAAGTGTAGCTTAAAAAAAATGTATATTATTTGAAACTTGGAACCCATTAAAAATGTAGAAGACTTTAAAAAATAAGTTCCCCTATATTTGCATCTCGACCATCTTACTCACCAAACCTTTCCCTTACCCTTTACCATTCCAGCTTGGACCGGCCACCTGACGCCGTACGACCCCATCGAAGCGGCCGTCGCCGTAATGCCCAAGAAGGCCAAGACCGCAGGGGGCAGCAGCGCCACCGCCACCACAGCCACAGCCACCAGTATTAAGCACAAGCAGCCGGCGGGCAGCGGCAGCAACCATGTTGGCCAGAGCCAGAGCAAGAAGACGAAGCCCAGCGGCAGCTACAACAGCAACTACTACTATGCCGACGAGGAGGAGGGCATCAGCGGCAGCGGCTACTACTCGATGAACTTCGACACCAAGGCCGTGGAAGAGCTGTCCCTGCGACTGCTCGACGAGCTGAGGGCGGCCAAGTCGCGGCATTTGACCTGCACCGAAGTGTCGCTACCCTGTGATCTCACGCCGAGCGTGGCCCGGGAAATCATCCGCGTGTCGGAGAAGGAGCCCTGCGGCATCCGCGGCTGCACCATCTACATTGAGTTCGAGGACGAGCCGAAGAACTCGCGTCGCATCGCCTCGATCAAGATCGATCCGGACACGGTGTCCACATTCGAAGTGTATCTGACCCTCAGGCAGGATCACCGCGGCTGGACGTCCCTGTTGCCGCAGTTCATGAAGAGCCTGGCCCGCACGATCACCATCAGTCCGGAGTACACGATCACCAAGAACAAGCTGTATTCCGCCGATGGATTGGGAGCAAGGCGCAGCTATAGCTTCGGCAGCCACGCCCACAGCCCCAGTGCGGCCATAGCCACGCCCACAAATTAAGGTGATCTTGGAGATCTGTAGTCAGATGTATTTGGTATATGTCTGCAAAAAACACCACCCCTGTGATGATCGAGAGCAGTAGTTTGTTGCAGTTGAAGGGCAACAACGAAGCAAGTATTCGAAGCCACCCCACCTACACCACACACACACACACACACACACACACATACACACACAAACACACACACCTAAAACACACACACACAACACATTAGGGTACGCCAACCACACTCTCATACTAATACTATATAATGGGACCGTAAGGCCCGATTTTTGTAATTGTGACTCTCACCACCATTTTACTTAGATGCGTAGTGCTATAACAAATAACTAGAGTTTTAAGTTGTTTCTCCTTTTTCAAAAACGCAAAAGCAAGAAAAACAAAAGGCGAGCAGAGCGGAAGAAAAGTAAAGAAAAACCAACATGAAATTCAAAGACGGCAGCCCCACGAATCCCAGAATCATATTTCTGGGGCCTTCGCTTTGGGGCTCGCCGGTCGACAACTCATGAATATGTGATACTGTTTAAGATGCTAAGAGTCTTTTGCCGGATCCACCAAATCCGGCAAGAGACGTTGATAAAATTACACATTACACACAACAAAAAAACACACACACACACACCCCATACATACACAACAAAAAGAACAGATTTTTTTAAAAATTGTATGCTATATAGTAATAAACAAACAAACAAACCAACAAAACAAACAAACTTGATCTTGGTAAATTTAAAATTTAACTTTAAAACTGAGAAGAGGCCTCGAATTGTGAAAGAGGTAGATGAACACACGCTCCAATTTTAGTTAGACGCAGCTTGCTGCAATAAAAATTTTTTAAATTATTAATTAATATTAATTAAAACCAACAAATTTTAGGATTTTAACAAATTTTTATATATTATTAAATGTATAGCGCGTACTACACAAAAAAGAAAAAAAAACCCAAAACAAAAGAAGATGAAAAAAAATACAAAGAAAATCCACAACAAAAAAATAAAAATGAGAATAAATTAAACATAAAAATCAAGCGTAAAATTTAAGGCAATGAATATCTCAGTAAATGTGAAAGCGTAAAAAATTTGTAAAATTTTTTTGTCTGTGTAAAACTCCCAATGCGATATGAAAACAAAAACTTAAATGTAGCAGCGAAAACAAAATCAAGAAATCGTCAAATAAAATGTGAAAATTTAATTAAATGCAATGCGATATAATTTGTAAAAATTACAATTAACGTAACGAGGTAAACTCAATGTTCTCACAAATACATAACACACCATCCACACATCCACACCAACATACAAACACACGAAAGTATCTATTACCAGCAAAAAGTATCTATCAAAGCGAAAAACTATTTATTAAAAAAGAGAGAGAAAGAAAGAAATAAACAAGCAAAATACGAAAAAATACATGTATTAATTTTTTATTATTAAAAAAGCAAAAACAAAAACATATTGTATTTAATGTTAAGTTTTTTTATTGCGTAAAACAACAAAATAATTGTGAGAAATTTGTAACCAAAACAAAACAAAAAAACAAAAGCAAAAACATTTTGTGAAAAAAACCATACCACACATACAGAGCGAAAAACAAAGGCAAAAAAAATTACAAAAAATAAAAGCATATAATTTTTCCTGCGCTAGCGGAAAATAATTGTGGAAAAAATTAAAACAAAACGGCTTTCTTTTCTGCCAACACTGTTGTTGGATCCCAGGGGCGGGATAAGGGGGCAGGTGCGTTTTAGCTTGTTGCGGGTGCAACTTTCTTTCAGCAGCCACCGAACCACTGAAAAGCGGCAACGTCGCTGCCCGCACAACCCGTTACTGCCACGGCCATGGCAACTGCACTGCGAGAAACCGGAGCATAACTGCCACTGTTATACAATTGAAATATACACTGGGAAAAATCCCCTGTATCTCAGCATCTTTCCCTGGTGACACAAGTACGAGTTCAACGACCACTGCTGCCCACTGCATTTTCATGCTTATCGATACGCTTCTGTAGGTATATCAAACTGAAATGAATCATCACATCATATCAACTTTAATTTCTGTGCAGTACAGGATTAAACATTTCACAATTTTTATATAATTGGGATTAACATTATATTTTAAAAGACAAAATTAACCTTCGTTTTCGGGTAGTACTTACAAATTTATTCAATAGGTTTAAGTTAAAGCTAAAAAAATATTTCCTTAAACATAAAAAATTTACCACCAATATTTTAATTAATGCATTGATATGTAACTCCATATATAAAAAATATAATTCTGTCCTTTTAGCGAATATATAATAAAAATATAAAATATTTCATACAAATTAACGTTTGAAGAATCATTTTAACAGGAGACAACAGTAACAGTGCAAATTATTTTGCCACAAAACTTAAAGTATAAATAATAAAATGTTTAATATCAAGATAAAAGGAAGGCTTATTAAAAATTTTGGGTATTGTTTTTTTGCACAATAAATTTTAAATCATAGGGAGCTTTTTTTGAGTGTACGGCTGCAGTAGTTACACAAACGGCAACAGCAACAATCGCTGCTTCGCGATCAGCAGGGGAAGACAATTGGGCAACCAGTTTGGGCTAGGCCCACAACTTGTTGTTGGGCTCCGATGGGTACTATGAACTTGGTTGAAAAGCGACAACGTTGCAGTTGGCCAAACAGGCTGAGCTTACCAACAAAAAGTGCAGGAAAAGGAAGAAATCGCACAGATTTAGGCTTGTTATTGTTTGTTAAAGTTTTAAAAAGTAATCTTACCAAGCTGTGATGACGATGATGATAGTATTATCTGTACTAACAATCCATGTTAGCGAGGGCATTTAAAAAAAAAATTTAGGATGTTGATCTCTAGTAGTCAATACACATTTTTATATGGATTTTCATTTCTAAACCCACAAGTTCATATAAACAAAGTATAACTCAAATATTTATTGTTCAACATTTATATTTTATACTACCTATAACATTTATTATAAAGAACTAAATATTGGAATAAAATACCCTACCCTTATGGTCATTAATAATTGTAAAGAAGTAAATATTATAAGATAATAACTTTAAATGTATGGTCTTTTCGAATCATTAATCATCTTATTTAACATTAATTTATTATTGGCTCAAAAATTACCGGGTCTATGGTTATAAAACTAAAGCTATAAGCACATGTTCATTTTATTTCTAAACTCGTAATGCTTGAATGCCAGGAAAGGACACATTTTAAAAGAAATGATACATCTGTGAATATAAGAAATTTGGTGATTTGGGGTCGTCAAGGAAGGTGATTTTCCCTTAATTCGCATGGGATCTGTAATTACGACCAGACGTGTGCCATATTTACCCAGAACACCGAGTGTAGAAAGTCATTTAAAATGCTGTCATTCTTCTTGTTAAGGCGAACATCTAGCATCCACCTCAAGTCATTACCAAAACGAAAAGGAAAGCGGTCCAGGGGGCAAAACCGCCAAGGCATACGACACTTTTTTGGACCCGTTGCGATATTCGGTCATTTCCGAGAATAGATAGGCGAAAAGGGTGCAAGTGTACGCGGGAACTGTTGACAACAATTTTTGAAAATACGTATGGCACATACTATATAGAACCCATAGTATAGTCTAGTACGTGTTGGTCGGGATGTACGCGGTGCGGTTGTTGGGTTTGATGGGGCGAAACTACAATCAGTTCCAATTAGATGCGAAAATAGAATTCAATTGTCACGTCATAAAAGATTTAATTGAATCAATTTCACGTCACAATTCGTTCGCATTTTTTGGGGACATTTCGTTATATTTTTATGTCATTTTCGCATACTTTTATTTTTGATTTTACATATACATATTTTGAACTTACGAGTATTGTGCGTCTTTGTTTTTGTTTTCGATTTCCCGCCGAGACTCAAGGCATTTTAATGATGCTGATGACGCGTTCTGCCGCTGATAATTTCCTTGACTTTGTAATTTATTGATGTTTTCGAAAATATATTTTTGAGAGTGTGCTAGCGCCTCTGGGCGATAGTTTTCGCATTTACGAAAACGCGTTTCAATTATGGGCCACACGCGTTTCCCAGAATTCTTCGTTGGCCACATTTTCGCTGCGTGTTTTCCCATAGTTTAATTCCATGATATTTTTTGTAGGCTCTTAAGTTCGTATCCAGAACATCTAGAACATCTGCATGGTATTCCCCACGAAATTCCAAACTTCGAGACCGGGTCTGGCCAATATTTGCTGTATTATTTAACTTTTTGTTTATTCCCCGCTTTGTTTTAAATTTCTCCAGTTTCCCCACTGCTCCTCCAACGCGTTCCATTCTAAACTGAATAAATAGATTGGTGTGTCACTTTTGTCAACAATTTGCATGCATATTCTGAAATGCGGAATTTCTGTTATTGAAGCACACAAATGTATCTACATATATTTGTAGACATTAGGAGAACAACAGCCGAAACAAATAGAAAAAAATCGAAAGACAAAAAAGATGGCAAATATTTGGTCATGTCCTCTGGTTTTCGTTTTTGAACAATCCCGCTCTTGGAACTACACATCCCCCAGTTGTTGGCCAATTAATATCAGTTTTTTTTTTGGGAATTCTGGCCATGGAAAGTCTCCAGCTTTATCGAAAATCTTCGGCACGTGTTACCCCTTCTCCAATTTAAAAATCGGTCCGACTCAAGATAAATTTGCGCAGCCAAGTTTTTGGACTTGTCACATCAGCCTTGGTCGTAGGTGGACTCGTTTTGGACGTGTTCATTATTATTTTTTCAACGGCACGTGTCCCAGTGAAATATTCGATCGCTGCCAGGGGTATTAGAAAATTAGAAAATGTTTTAGCTGTCACAACATCATAAAAAATTCTAAATTTTCACGATTAATTACTTTAAAATGCTGTCTTTTTCTTTGGTCATGGTGAAAATTGAAAAATCTCTTCCAAGAACTGGGATACACGTGTACATTTTGAAAAAACATATAGGCAAGAAAAAATCTTTACTAGCCTAAGACCTTATAATTTGCTTTTTGGCATGGCTAATCTATTTTCTTATTAACAAGTGACAGGCCAAATAAGACCTCTTGCCTCGTAGATATTAAAAAGGCAGATTGGTGATAAATGTTTGTGCTAGTTTCGCTTTTAAAACAAAATAAACAAGGGAAAAGTACCCAAAACAATTGTTATTGGGTTAACATAGTTCAATTTTGAGTATAAAAACCTAATGTTTCCTGAGTTTTAGATATTTGGTAAATAAAATATGTTATTTCGAAGGTATATATTAGATATACCTTTATTTTTCACATACCTACTGGAAATCCACATTTCCCTAAATTAGCACAAAGATTTCCTACACTTTGCAAAACTAAACGTGAAAAAACATGCAAGTTCATGCCCACCTGACTTGACCGAATTTAGCCCGAAAAAAACCCCTAAAACCCCTAATCCGAGACAATGTTACTGGCAATCTTCTCCAATTACTAAGCCCCGAATTACAGCCTGCTCCCATATTATAATGCCATCAATTCCATTGTAGTCGATTGTTAGCTGCTGCTGCTTTGTTTCCCTTGCCGGCTCTCAAAGTGTCATTATTCCCACAGTGTGGAAAACTTGACCCGTCCGCCCGCTGACAAGCGAGCGGGAAAATCGGAAAACTCTAGGGAAAATGTGCCAGAGGGCAAAATCCTCAATTGTCATGTTTCTTGACAATTTGTCTATGGGCAATCACAGCAACCGATTCATACCATTCATATGGCCATACATCCGAGCATCCATCTCTTCTTTGACAGTTTCTATGACCTTCGAATCTTTTCAGTTCGGTTCTTTCTTTTCGCCTTCGAGGGGTACGTTTCCCTCGCCCTGCGCCCTATCCTCCTTTTACCTCCTTTGTTGTAAGCAGACCACAAATAGATCTTACAATATATTATTTCGATTGGACACGGTCGCTCCTCAGATTCAGATACCGCCTCTCCTTCCCTCGCAGTCCACCCTTCTCTGTCTCTCCCTCAACTATTCCAAGTTGTAGAGAATGTTTCGAGGAAGGAACCTTTGGTTGGTGTCCAAGTTCAATAAGAACTACAAGAGCAGGTGAAATCATAGCAGTACTAAAATATTTTTTTATTTTGAGTAAATCAATATTTATTTATGCCTTTTAAGACACAATTTCTTTGCTTAGTCTTATTAAATAAAGATCTTAAAAGGATATTATAAAAAGAATGAATCTTATGTATAATAAATTCCTTATATTACATACGTATTTTTATAACTATAACAAAAAGCTAACAATAACATAATTCAAAGATTAAATCAAATTTTCTAGGTGAACTTTTTCTATGGTGAACTTTAGATATGCATTTAAAGATTTATTATTACAGAAGGATTGGAGATTAAAAATTCCTTTTATTTAGTAATTATATTCGATGTCAAATTAAGCCAACTTTCATCTTCACAACCTTTTAGTTCTTTTCAAGAGTTCGAATACCTACATATATGAAATTTTTAGTTAGTACTATTTTCTTGGACTCAGTGGTACATGTAACAAGTGCATGTGTGTGCGAGTATCTGTGAGGTGCTTGTCTGTTTGCCTTACGAATTTTGTTTTTCAACTTGCTGTTTTTATTGCTTTCGCTGTATCTGTATCTGTGACTCAATGGTTTTCGGTATCGCTTTAGATTTGGTTGTTTTTCAAAAACTGATAAGCGACATTGGGTTGCTCTTGCTGCCGTGGTTGTTACCAACTGTGAGCAAAACCGTCGACTGTGACAAACAAATGTCGGTCGTCGAAAGCGGAAATGCGAAACTACACAACAACAGCAAAAATATTAAGGCCCAAAACAACAACAGCAGCAAAATAAATGTCAACAGTAATTGTAGCATTTCCAAGGTTTTCACAATATGAATGATAGCTACACGCAGACAATTACAAAAACATATATGGTGTATGTAAGTACACTGAGAGAAAATGCATTTTTAAGACAAAATTTGCCTCCTACATGTGGATGTATAAAAATATCTCTTAGATCTTCACATTCTTCAAAGTTATATGTTTATAACCGACTTTTAATGAGATAAGGCGATACAACAACACTTAGTGACTTTAAAATTGTATGTAAAACTAAAGAAACATTAAATAAAACTCGGGAAATATTGTAATTAACCTTTTATAATACTGTTTTGGAAATTCATATATGATAAAGCAATTTTATACTTAAAATAAGTTATGACACATTTAAAACAATACAATAAAACAGCACATTAAGACTAGAGTCGAACAAATGTCATCGGTAAATATTTACTGATGAACTTGAACTAGAAAAAGAAATGTTAACGCACGTTCAGTAAAAAAAAACCTCATTTAAAATTTAAACTAGTTTCACTTTTTCTCTGTGTATGATTGTATTTTCGTATTTGTTTGTACACTTTCCATTTGTACCTGGCTTGGCAACAAAGCGACAATCACAAAAGCAGAAGAAGCACCGGCAGCAGCACCAACAACAACACTAATGAACGGCGAAGGTTTCGTAAATCGAAGCAACAACAATACAGTACTTAAAACGAACAACAAAAGCAAAGCACCAGCAACAACAACGGTGTAAAAATTGTGAGTCATCTGCAAGTCGGTGCATATTATTCCATGATCTCAACAGTGGTGGGCACACAAATGGGAGCATAAAAAAATATTGTATGTTTTTAAATTTTTCAAATGGATTTTTATATCAAAATGTATAAAAATGTTGAAAACTTTTAGCATACTTACTTTAATTGGTTACCTTATGTTTATATTTACTTTTTATTTTAATTTTTCGATCTAAAATTGGTTGTTTATTGTGAAGTAAAGGTACATTTTGCATTTTAATTTGGTATTTAATATTCTGCGCTATACAATATTCTTCTCAAAACTTTTTTTTATACAAATTTAAAGAGTTTTCTTTTTGACATTACTTCGTTTTGACCTAAAAAGGCCCACCTTTTCATAAAATTCACACTTTTATGTCCTACGCACAAGATATATATAATGATCTTAATGGCTAATTTTTTCTTAAAAAGTGATCCTAAATTTGTTACATTCATTATAAAGTGCTCCCAAAATTGATGCCTATAATTTTGCCCACTGGTGTGTGCGAGTGTGCGTGCTTCGTGTTGCCAGGGGCTCGATTCATTCAATGAGCCAACAACTCCGGCGACGTCAGCGGCAACAACAATGGGAACAATGCATAAGCAGCAACAATATACAGCAACAACAACAACAACAACAATAATGACAATAACCATGGGCCACATGTGCAAAAATTGTTTAGCATAGAAACAAAAGATAAACAAGAAGCAAGTGTAGCACAAAAGGAGCGAAGGTAATAACAGTAGAGCTGGGAAAGCAGATAAGTGGCAAGAGGCAGAGAAGAAAAGTCATCAGCGAGGGAAAATCGAGGGGACTACTACTCGGTGATTATCAGATTAGAGCGGCAAAAATATCCGTAAGCCCCCTGGAGACCATTTCAGCGCTTGGCAAAAATAAACAAATTTTTCGAGAACAAGTATCCGGCAGATACATCTGAATTGCCACGAAGTGGCCACAATGCGGTGCTGCTTTTCTGTTTTTTTTGTTTGTTGCAAGGAACGGCAATTATTATGCGAATATTCAGGCAATAAAAAATGTAAATTTTTTGCTCTCCGCTTATCTATCTGCGTTCCTATTTCCCCCCGCCCCCGAGCGTCGTTAATCCCCCGAAGATGAGCAAAAAGATACAAGATACGCGGGCATGCACTTAAGTACATGCCCGAGGGCCAAAAGCTCAACGCTAATTAAATAATAGCAGAACATTCGTTGCCGTGTGTATATCTGTGAGATACGCTTTTATCAACAAGAGAAATGCTCAAATTGTATGCGAATTTTTAGTATTCCTTTTCGGTGAGTCGCTTGTTTTCACCATCTAAGTTTTTGTCACGGCCATATGGGAACGAACACAAAATAACAGATTCGTGACTGAAGGTAATTTATTTAGAAACTTTCAAAGCAAAAATAAAAAAAATAATACATATAATAAAATACTTTTGCTTGATTAAATATTCTTTTCTTCGTTTATTTGTTCGGCATCGATGCAGGGAATATCTATTTTCGCCAAAGAGATTATCTCTCGCACACTCGCACAGTTAAGATACATTTGTCTTGTGCGGATTAACATTTAAGCACTTACTTTGTAATTAATTATTTACACGTCCGAACAGATATCGAAACGAGACGTAATCTGCATAGAAACCCGTCATATCTGTCAGTCCCCGAGTCTTATGTTTGTGCTGGGGTAGATGTTTATCTTCGAACAGGTTCCTTTGTGAGTACTTTTTTTTGTGCACGGATATTTTCGCTCTCAGGAAGCATTGACTCGGCTGAGGTCATTTTGGATGTATCTGTACTCTTATTACAATCAGGTTATATCGCAGATCGATGCATTTTAAAATGGGATAATTACGTTGTTCGTTAAAGGAAGCATGTGGGTAACCCGCCATTTCATTACTTACCCACTTACTTTTGTGAGTGCTAAGGTTCTATAAAAAAGAATACTCGAAAATTCTAGAGAAAAAATGTTATGCAGAATACTTGTTCCTTTATTATGTTCTATTATTTAATTCTACTATTTTTTTTTTAACATATTAAAAATTCCTTATTTAACCTAATTAGCTTTAATTGCCTCCTTAGTTTACAAGTAATTTACAATTTAAAATGGAAATTCACCCTGAACTAGAATTTTACGCTATTTAGCTATTTCTAGGAACCCGATCAAGCAATCTGACCCGCAATCGCTCAAATTAAGCCCGCGGATCTATCGTGACTGATTCACAATTTAGAGTCCCTAGGCAACCTTTGGCGAGCGATACTGTGATATTTAGATGGCATCTTCCCGGGAATTCAGATAGCATTTGCACTGCACCACTGCATCACATTGTGTGCACGCGGCAATCCACCAATGCCGAACCACTGAACCACGCAACCACCGAACCACCGAACCACTCGACCACACTCAATGACTTTATTTTAATTCGAAATTTGCCTCGAGTTGTGCTCTTTTTTTATTGTGTCTTGGTTTCCATCGGTGAGTTTCAGTTTTTCAGTTTTTTAGATGGCATTAGTCATCCCCAAAGCCACAGTCATCGTCTCCGTCTCCATTCTGGTGTGCAATTTGGCTTTTGTTTTTCATTTTTTTAAACATTTTTTTCATTGCAATTTTCATTTCAGCTGGGTAAGTGTTAAGGTTGCCGATTCTTAGTCTTCAACCTGTTGTCGTTTATTGTACTTGACAGCAGCCATCGAAAGGGCAAGCAAACACATATTTCGCAAAGCTCATTAAGTTTGTTTTTTCCTCTGGCTGTTTTCTTCCCCCCGAAAGAAACCCCTTCTAGATATTCGAACCCGAACTGTGCTAAATTTCGTAATCGAAAGTTGTTTTGATGGCTCGGCTTTTGGGTGAGCAGTGCTTAGTCAATGATATTAAGTAATACTTAGACACGACTGTGTACCGATACTACACCATCAGGTATATATGTATATATACATTTGTTTTTTAGCTAGTACTGGATACTTGGGGTACTCGAGGCCTCATTTGCATGGGCCCGTCCACTTGGAATTGAAATTATATATTCTGAGCCCCGGCGAGTGTAAACATTTGCTCCAAGTTGTTTATGCAAGCTGCTGTTGGCATTAGTCTTACTTTAGGCACTATTCAGGTACATATATCCAGAAATAGATAGAACTGAGTTCTACTTATTGCAGGTTCTTTTTTAGGTAGTTCCTAGGTGCTCTTATCAACCAGGAACTGTTTGACAAATTCAAGAGGAACCCAAGACCAGGAAACCGAATCGAAATAGGAAGTATTAGCGAATCGTTTGGGAAACAAATACGCGTATCAACGAGCATATTTAAGTGGGTAAATATTTATTGGATATTTAGCAGATGTTATGGGGAACCTCAAAAAGATATAGGAATTTTTTTTCTGAGTAAAGGAAAGTTTTAAGATATTATAAATAACAGGTATTGAGTTTGGTTTTCCGTAATATACAAGGCTCATAATGTTTTATCAGCAAAACTAAATGTGTTGATAAAACTATTTTATAATAGCTACAAGTTTCCTGGAAATAAAAGTTTAGTGATTGTATACTTTTTAAAATCTTAGACGAAAGCATTACGTATTTCTTCACAGACTATGATAACTTTACAAGCCCAAGCAATTTTATAATCATTCATGAGTGATTTAATCTAGATGCACGACCTATCCCAGCTGACTTTAATTCCCACATCTCCAGCACAGAAAATCTACTTAAAGTTGTTACTTTTCGCGATCACAGCAATCTAAAGTATAATTATAAATAAATTATTTCAGTGGCTAATGAGAACTTTTTAAATAAGGCGATGATGTCAGCTGAATTTCAGAGTGAATCTTTTCCTTGTTCCTAATTATATAAATGACTTTCATATAATTGCTGCATACATATATGATTATATATGTGCACTGACACCGGCGATTTCTAAGTGCAAAAATGTAGGTCCAGCCGGGTTCGTATCAGTGGAAGCATTTTTGAGTTGTCATGGCCATCGTAAAATCGACGGAACAATGATGAAGCTATATCAATTAGCAGGGCCCCGTACTTATCACCCGCCCAGTTTTAAATTGCCTATGGAGATAGTGGAAAAGTAGGGGAGAGAGTTTCGGAGTCACATGCGAACTGCACTAGAGAACCCATTGTCTGACAGCTGAATTATCGGTGCAAATATTTGCCCAGGCAACTGCAACTGTCTGGTTTTGGGTTGGGTCAGGTGGAGTGCACTTGGCACGTGTTATCAGTGAATCAGAGGTCTGGATGTGGATACACTTGGCATGCAAAGCGCATGTAGAACCCACCTTTAGACGACTCGTAGAACTAGAAAAGCAATCGCCAGACAGCTATTTGCACTTACGGCTGCGGGAAATATCATACGACGGAAATTGAATTATTGCATTTTAATAGGTTACATTATCGATTATAAACCACACGAGTTTATCTTTATTTATATTTATATATTATTACAATATATTCTGAAAAACTATTTCTTCTTTATAAATCTATTTTAAGCCATCATTTAATTTTTATATTGATTATATCATTCTTAACAATCTACAAATATACAACAACTTTTAAGCCTCTAATATTTTGATCATACCTGTGTAACTTTAAAATAGAACGCACTCAACTTAAGTGCAAATAGTTATGGCTCTTTTTCTGCCGGCAATCGTAATTGCCATTGACGTTTCCAAAACTAGCCCCCTCTAAAAAACAAAACTTACCAACGCGGTCTGGACTTCCTTATCGGTTCGATAGGCCTCTTATCAATCACGCTACTTTAGAACACTAACCGATTATAATTCTTATCTCGACTTGATTCTCATGGTCGGACTTATTTTCCAGACGTTCCGTCTTCTACGAATTTGTTTACGCTGAAAATGCGAATAGAATTTTGGTCAACAAAGCCCTCAGTTGTCATATTGATAGCCAAAGAATTTTCTACAAATGAAAATAGCATTTCACTCGAATTCGAATCACCCGCGAAGATTCACAAACAAGAAACTTGATACGCAGCCCGTCTAATCAATCAGAGATCCAATGCCAGAAGTGCAATGAATAAGCGGAACATTATCGAACGGAAACGATGTTGTGATCACTGATCAATGATCAATGATCAGTCAGTGGGAAGCCATTCAAGAGCAGCAAATTCGAGAGTGATATCATTTACACAATTTATTTGTGAAGCAATGGAGTGGGTATGTTCTTTGGTTAACGATAATAAAATATACAACATAAAAGCAACCCGTTAAAAGAAGAGCTAATAAACTAAGTCCCAGCTAAACTAACAAACAAATGTGAAAGCGGATAAGATCTAAGAGTAGAAGAGATAATATTAGAGGCCTCAATACTGTACATTAAGATAAGGCAAGCAAAGAGTTTGGGAGAAGGAAAAACAAACATGGATAAGCCAAAACCACAAAGGTGGTGGAAGAACCGAAAGAAAACAATGAAAATAATTCAGAACGTAAGGAATTCGAAACCATAGATAAATAACCATAGTTGGCAATTAAAGTAGGAAAGATGAGATTTGAGAATATAAAATGGTATCACAAATGAAATTATCAACAGACATTCCAGTTACTAGATCAAAAGCGTGTGTTTGCCCTCAAGGCCAGACGTTTTTATAAGTTTAGGTTCCAAAAATAGACTCGAGATATGGGTATTACCAACTAACTATACTTCTTAGCGACAAGAACAATGAAAATAATTCAGAACGAAAGGAATTTGAAACTACAGATAACAATTAAAGTAAAAGAATAGAATTTAAATGGAAGTTGATTATCAACACACACTCCAGATACTAGATCAAAATCTGGGGATTGCCCACAAGGCCAGACGTTTTTATAATTTTAGATTCCAAAGATAGACTGATATAGGAATTTCCAACTTACTACACTTCATAGTGATAAGAAAACTGGCTCTCCAATTTGCTTTCACTCCAGAGTGAAGCTTGGTGACCATATTTGGTAAAATGAGACAGCTCAAGTTGGTTAGGATAAGATAAGAACTTAGATGTTTTTCTGTCTGGTGTACTCATGTCATAATCCCCTGTTCGCAAATCGCTGGGTGGCTTTCGTTTTCAGGGATACTCACTACTATATACCTAGTATATAGCAAAACGATCTTCCAATTTTCAGCGACTGGTGACCCAGAGCAGGTTCATAGTTCTCAGCTCATTGCCAGCTCTTAACCCCGAAACGACTCAAATGTCAGCTTCTTAACCTTATGAGCCGTCTCTGGTTCTTGTTGCCATAACTCTCTTACAAAACTAATTTGCGAGCCACGTTGACACCGACGCCATATAAAAAACTGTCTTATATAGTTAGTCTCGCCTGTCGCACCATCGTTTCTTCTTTTCCCCATTTTTGTTTTGCCAAGTTGCTGTCGGGTACTCGAGAGTACATGGGTACTACTCAGTCTTTTTTGCTGTTTGCTGATTTGTTTTTTATGATTGCTCTGCGACTGCGAAGGCGGCGACTACTGATGACGATTGCTGCTGTAGATGTTGCTGTTGCAGTTGTTGCTGTCGCTGTTTGCATTACATGAAAATGACCTACAAATAAATTAAGCTTTCAACGAGTTAGTGCCCGTTTTGCACACCCTGCCACTCATTTAAATATTACGAATACCTTCTCTAGAAAAAATGTTTTGTATACCTAACAAAATAGAAGACCCTACGGGGATAGTCCAGTATATTCATGGTATGTTTCGGTATTATTGATATTTTTAAAATTCTAAAATTATACCCAAAAAAAATGTTTTTCACTTTTTTAATAAACATATAAGTTTTAATATAATATGTAATATTGTTACTGTATTTGTCAAATTTAAAAATACTTATATACAAGATATTAATATATATTTTTAACTATTATTAAAAAATGAAATGAATACAAAAGTTTTTTAAATGATGATTTTAGAGTATTTAAAGATCCCGCATTTTAATATGACTTCGCGATTTTTAATTTCTTTGTTTATTCGCAGCTTACTCAGTTATTTAATTATGTTTACTTGTTGCAGCTCAACAAAGGGCGGTGAGTGAGTAACTCAACGCAATCCTGATGCAGCTCCTCTTGGCAAACATCAGGAAAAGGCAACCGAGCAAACAATTTGCATTATTAATTTAATTGAAAAACTTGTTAAATTAAATATTTAAATTTCGCTGCAGCCTCAGTCGCTGTCCTCGTCTCAGCGGCACTTGGAGTCGACGTCAAACAATATGGCAAATGATAATATTAATATGAATAAATGCAAATTGAGTTACATACTAGCCAGCTGATTGTGGCAATATAAGGAGGGGGAGGGACTTGGGGGTCTTGGCATCCACTTGGGACATTTATAGAACATTGTTGCAATTAATATGCTCGACTGTGGGCAGTGGAGCCATTTATGTGGCACACGAAGCGAAACTCTATCGACTGTCGCCATGGGAATCCACTTCAAGGGAAACAGGTTCAGGAGAACGATTGCATAGACGTTTCTATGGTTTTTCGCTCTGGCTTTAATTTAGGAGTGGAAATAATTATTTAACGTAAATGAATTCATGTTTTAAAATCGTAAATACCTATCGATGTTATTTGAAACATTTTCTTGACTACTTTGGGTCTAGAAACATTCTTATATGTAGTTGAACCTTATGATATTATTTTATTATACTTTTTGAATCGTTCCTTATAAAACGCTTAAGGAGATTTCAATAGACTTTATGTTCTGAAGTTATTGATTATCATATTATATTAATTATCATATATGCATATCATATCATTATATATATATCATATATATACATATACGACTACTTTGGGTCTAGAAACATTCTTATATGTAGTTTAACCTTCTGATATTATTTTATTATACTTTTTGAATCGTTCCTTATAAAACGCTTAGGAGATTTCAATCGACTTTATGTTCTGAAGTTATTAATTATCATATATGTATGCATATATACATATATGATATATATATGATATATCATGTTAATTATAATAGATCGAAAAAATAGAAATAGCAAAGCAACTATTGTTACATTAATTCTACACTGTTGAGCTTCGATTTGATGACTATTTGGCTTCGATAAGATGAGTATTAATTTAATACTTTGCAAAATATTGGATGGAAAATAATTGGTTTAAAAAAAACACTCTTAAATATAGAAATAAAACTATAAAGAATGTTAGGTACTATGTAATATCTAATCTTGAATCTATACTTAAATTTGAAAACTGCCTCTGGTATTCTTTTAATACAACCGGTTTTTAATTTTAGCTTTCTGTTTTTTTGAGTATCAGTACCTTAATTCAAATAATGTGGTGCTTATTATTTATGAAACTAATCTTCTCCGACTATTTTGGCTCCAGAAAGGTTCTTTAAAGCGGGCTGGGTGCCCAAGCTAATTTTGGCACCCCCAAAACGCTGTTTTTCAATCGGGTTAACATCTCAATCATAACTGGAATGTTCAATCTCGCCCGCTGCTCCGAGTGCCACACCTGTCCCTCACCAACGATCCAGATACATTGAGTTGGAATTAGCAATTTACGAGCAGCCTCGCCCGATCCAATGGATCCCCAATGCGAATCGATCCCGGCACACGGTCTGCTGATCAATGCCGATCTCAACTATTTTATTGCAATTTCTATTTTTTTATTTTCAATTTTCAATCGCGAGGTGTTGTTGCCTTTTAGATTTTAGCAATTTACGATCGAGACGGCTAGACGTTAGGATAGATCCACTACGTAACGAATCGCCAAAGGCCCAGCCAGACGAGACGTGTGAATTTCAATAGTTCTACTTGCAGTCGGGCGATAAGTCACTCTCTAATATGGTATATAGTATATGATAATGGTATAGGGGGCTCAAAACTATCGCTTGCGATAGGGAGACCAGATGCGACTGGGACGGGTTACGCAGAGATCGATGGGTCTGTCTGGGGTCTGAATGGGCTAGGTATTCTATATATACATATACATATTTATGGATCCCTGCTCGTGTCGTGTAAATATTTGCAATTGAGTCTACGATTTTTTACTATTTGTTTACATAGGTAATCAGTAAAAATTTTAAATACCCACCCTGAGGACTGGCACACAAACCGAACACGAGCGAGAATACTTGAAATGGAAACACAATTATAGAATGCAACTAGCCAGACGCAACAACAAATTTAAATATTTATGAGTTGTCGTCGTGCCATGCTTAAAGTCGTTCTTTGTTATGACTTCTGTTTTTATATTTATTTTTATTTTTATTTTCATTTTCAGTTTTGTTTTCGTTCTCGTTTTGGGTGTTCATGTTTTGTTATTATTCCAATTTTCGGGCCAGACGCAATTTATAGTTTTTTTATGCGAAACATTTTTGAGTTGTTTCATTTTCAATCTTCAATTCCGGGCGAAGCCTACTAATTGGATACCCTACGCTGTGATAGAAAGATATGTGAGGTTGTATAGACGTTAAAAGTTAGCATGAGTCTTTCAATAATATATATTGTTAATAAAAAAAAGTTTGAAATTGTTTTCCCAAATAAGTTTACAAAGGTTTGATATTATTATTATTTATTAGGTCACTTACGTTGGTACAGTTGAAGTGATTGCCTCAGTTCTTGAAAGAGCAGTTATGTTTTTTTTATCACTATCGTAAAATGATTATACAATCAACATACAATTTTGTATTGCGTTTTAAATTTTCAGACTTTTTGTGGCTTGAATCTGAAAACAATTTATCGGAGACGTGTAATTTTTATTGGTAAGTCAAAAAAGCATCAAAACTTAACTCAAATGAAAATATACACACAATAAAATGTAAACTCAATTGCATTTTCCAATATCTTATAAGCATTTCAAGGCTAATATCCCAAATGGCTTAGAGGACTTTGCCAGGGCTTAACTCTTAAAAGTTTTAAAAGCAATATCTTTAAGTATTCCATGCGAAAGAAAAGTTTTCAATTCACATTCGAGATCCCAGGGCAACCTTTTCCCCCACCGTAATTGAATTTTTGAATATTCTTAAATCCAATTGGGAAACGGGGCAGGAAAAGTGTTTTTCTGCTTTTGCTTTTTGGGGCAAAGGGTACAAAATTTATCAGCTCAACTGAGACCCCAAGCGAAACTCAACTTTGATGACTTTTTGTTGTTTATAGTTTTTTGTTTGTAACTTTTTTTTTTTTCATTCAGCCGAGCAGTTTTTGGTTGCTTTTTGTCTGTTTTGGGTCTTGCCTTAGAATATTTTTTTATTGCGCGTTGGCGGGTCTGATAGCGAGAGGGATGGGTATATAAAGGGGGCCAAGACAAAGACGACAACATGGCCGGCACACCTTTTGCCATTACTTATTTTTTTCCCCATTTTTATTGTTGCTGTGTGTTTATGTGTGCACAACTCATAAGCATCGATGTGGCCCAGGTGTGTGTTTGTTGTGTGTGTTGCGTTGTGTGTGCGGGGAGTGTTTGCTTATCTCGGCTGTGTGTCCCCATAGGTGTACGATGTACACTGAACATATATGTATGGGTCTTACGGGTGTACGGGTTTTATGGGGCGGGGGAAGTGACTGTGGGCGGCGGCGGGCGGAGGCCATATTCTTTATTTGCATAGCAATTTTAGACGCTGCTCCTCCACTACGACGACTTCTTTTCTTGTTATTTTTTATGTGTGTTTATTTTTCAGTTTTATGCCGATACGCGAAAACGAGAGCGCCGAAAAGTAAAAATATAATCATAAAAAATAGGCGGCTGGGTGCGTGGATGATAATGCACCGTCAAAAATTTAAGTGGGATCAGATAAGTAGTTAGTTTAATGTAAATATTCCTAATTAGGATGCTACAAATTTGTGTTTCTTGGAAGCCTGCAGCATCTTTATGTTTTTCTCAATTTTCCAATCACTCTTCACACATTTTTAGTTCAAATAAAAAGATCCTTATACATTATGCAATAAAATGAAAGACATTTTAGAACCAATTTTAATTGTATTTATTTTATAATATTTCCATATATATATTTCCTTACAATAACGAATAATACCATAAGTAAACTATACTAAATTTCTAAAAAATATAACAATTAAATTTAATGCTGGTTTCTTAAGATAAGATTTGAAATACTATTGTTCGCTACTGGTTCGGTATTCCTTGGATGCGTGTTTAGCATACCCAATACAATAAGGAACAATCAGTATTAAATATTTTCTTGTTGTGTAAATGATTTCGGGTGTGTGCCGTGTTTCAGTTCGAATAATAAGTGTGGTACTACTTATACGCTCAAACTTGACCTAGGCGGCATTATCAACATCGCACGTGTCGTGTTCGCCAAAAGGCGAGGTGGCTAGGGACTCACCCATATATACTATATATGGGTACCTTTATGGCACCCCTTACCAAAACCAAAATGCGCCACCTTTTCCCATCCGTATTATTTATAGAAATAATCAAAAATTCAACACGAAATCAATAATAAACGTAGAATTTTATGCCTTTCCTTTATAGCTTCCTCTCCATCTCCATATCGAAACCCCCTCCCCGATTCCAATTCCGATTCCCATACCGATTCTGTTTCGCACTCTCTCCCGACGATTGCCGTCCCTTGTCAGCTATTATTTATTGCGTTGAAAAGTTTCATTATCAATTTTTTTTTTTACAATTTACATAAGGCATAAGGTCTGGGACGTCGACAGCGCTGCCTTGCAACTTTGTTGCGGCTTCCAGTTTGTCTATATATACACTGTATACCCTGTATATATGTGCACATAGAGGAGTGAGCTGCAAAGTTGTGCCACCAAATGGCACAGAGCAACAACTACAACTGGATGTGGCAGCAGCAACACCAGGAATACCAACAGCAACAAGGCAACCAGCAACAATGACAGAAAATGGCAGTGTAAAACTTTTTTAGTGATAACCATAGATATTACCAATGGGCACCGTGGCTGCCGCAGCCAAAAATATAGCACCAGGAAGAGATTACTTTTGGATTGTGAACTTCAGGTGTGAATAGGTAAAGTAAATCAAACAGATAACTATTTTATTTTTGATATTATATTATGATAAATGATTTTAAGCAAACATAAATTTAGAGACGAAAATTAAAAAGGTAAACCATAGGACGCTCCCAGTAGTCAATAATATTTAACTTATAATGTATGTTGTATCCATTGATGTTCAATTTTTTTTGGTAAACAGTTTTTTTTACTTTGCTTCAGATTTTTAGCTTCAGGGATGAATAGGTGAATTAAATTAGATTTTTTAATACTTATATTATAACTGGAAATAAAAAAAAAAATATTTAGTGATCAAAATATGTGCCCAATACTAAAAGTTCCCACAGTATGTAAGAATATTATACTTGAATTGTATGTTGTATCCGTTGATTTGTAATAAGTTTTGGTTAATAACTTTTAACGGCTTAAACCTTTAAAAACCTACTGGTAATAAAGCGTCTATTAAATAATATATAGTAATATAACGTTTGTTAAATAAAAGAAAGGCTGAAAAAGATTAATACCACCAAAAGATTTATTACTAAACTTTTAATGCCTGCAGCTTAGATCAAAATAAATATGCAAGCTAGTGAGTGTTAAAAATATTTATACTCCGAGCAATTAAGACAGTCATATAGTATGATACGAAATTGTGCAAATAATTTTTAAAGACCAATCTAGCCTTAAAATAACATCCTGCCTTACTTTCTCAAAAATAATTAAAATGAATGGTCATAAAAACCAAAC